CGAAATTCTATGCTTACATTAGCCATATCTTTATTAATGTTATAAATTGGGGTAGTTGTTGTTATAGAAATGGTATAGGTTATATTTTTCTTTAGTTATTTAATCTTAATCTATCTTTTGTTTCACTTAACTAACGAAGCCATTCTAAGCTTGAATATTTGAGAGTTTCATGAACATTACTATCATTCGAAAATTCCTCACTAAATATGGTACTTTCTTCAATTTGTCAATAGTTATCGCCCTCTGCATTGCATCTGGTATCTTCTTCAACATCGCCACAGAAACGCCCCTAGATGCCCTTTCCACCGCCAAAGGTGTTCCAGTTGCTGGTGCCTGGTTATTCGGAGGGACAATTCTTTCTTCTCAAATTGCCATGCTTATGGGGCTTGTATTTTGTTACCTTCGTTGACTTCAAGCTCATATTTATATGCGTCTATGAGTGTATTTGCGTGTTTGTGTATGTGCACCTTTGGGCTTTTCACACCAAATTTACGCAAAAGAATAAGAGTATATTACTTACTTCGAGCTCCGAAGTGTTACACTTATATATAAAGTTGAAGTGCCATTAAAACTTTTAATTTTGAGTTAACATTTAAACAAAATATTTTAATGACTTCGTTGAGATGAGTAACTGTGTGTACACTGGGTATATTGACACAAATGATCTACCCTACATTAAAATTTTATATATGTATTATATGCTTTTGCATAATTCTGTTTACAAAGCAAATAAGAATAGAATATTTGCAAGAAATACCTAGAAGTTTCATTAAAAAGAGCTCATCGATTTATATAATAAAAAAATTATCTATTACTAGCTTAGTGAATTTTTTATCGCCTTGACGATGAAACGACTTGGAGATATTGAGAACTTGCAAAATAGCAAGCAAAAACATGTTTCTATTTTTAGATTTAGGTAAATATAAAAAAATTGGGTTTAAATTAAATGGAAATCTTAGCAAACAACCGATTCTTAACGATCAGATTGAATAAACCATTATGATATGTCGATCAGTCGCTTATTCAGTTTAACTGTGACAAACTTTCATGCCTATCTGCGTTGAAAACTCACATATATGATTTAGTAAAATGTATATGAGATGTAAAGAAAAACTGGGGTGTTAAGAATTCCTTTGTGATTTATTGTGATACGACTTTTTATTCCGAAGGAAAAGTTTATTACCGCGAAACGAAGATCTTTGGATTGTGAGAAGAAGTCCTCGTCTCACCGTTCTGCGACCCAGATGAACATGCGCTAAGCTTTCGTCTGTACCAGCGTGACAGACTACATCAGGGCAAGAACCCATACCTAAGTTTCATTTTATGAAAGTCTCCTCAACAATAGGTTTGAGTTGGCCAGCAAAATCAAGGGTGTATAAACAGAGCGACTATGGTTGCAGCATGCCACCTTTTCTCTTGGTTTAGCAGATTTTTTGCACTATTTCAATAAGTATAGCTTATCACTCTGGTGTTGTTTGTCTCGGCGGTACGGACGAGAGCTTAGCACAGGTTTATCGGAATCCCAGGACGGTGAGCAGAGGACCTCTTAATACAATCCAACAATTTTCACACTGCGGCAGTCCTCCTTCAGTTTCTGGGATACCATTTCACGAAATCTTTGATTGAACTTTTTTTTCGAGATGGAAGGTCATTTCACAATATATCACCAGGGAATTATTGAAATTCCAATTTTATTCATATCTCCTGTACATTTGACTAGTACAGATATTGAAGAAAGTTTGCCAACGTTAATATGCATAAGTTACTAGCTGGTAAACCATTATGGCGAAATAACTAAATTTGTTTCTCCGAGTAATACAGGACGAGCTATGCTGTCTAGTGCGACAACAGGCTACCCAAAATTATCTTGTATGTTACCGTCCTCATGTCTAGTTTGCATCAGACCTGCCCAGACAGATTGTAGGGTTGAGCCACTTTTAATTTATTTATTCGATTTAGTAATTAATTACTTAAATAAATGGTAAATTAGAAGATTGGCTTACGCTCGGGTGAAATTACATTTACTTCCTACATCTGGGAATTGATAAACTGCCTTCTTAAACCCTTCACCAGCTTATTCGGAATTAGTGATTAAATTTATCACACCATTAAGCCTTCGTGGCAGGTCGACTGGGTAGTTGTCGCTGTGATATGTGACTATTTGATTAATCTAATCCACAAGGTTGGCAAGAATGCCAGCGAAATGCATAGCGACGCATTCCGGAGTGGGAATATAGCGCTAGAGAATGCCTTCGGGGTCTACAGCAAGTCAGATCGAGCGGTGTAACCCAGT